AAATAAATAAATAAATAAATAAATAAATATTTTTAACATACAAGAAATATTTGTCTTTTAGGTGAGTAGCAAAAATCAAAATAAAAAATCTGTTCACACAGTGGTAAACATGCATCACATATTTAACAAACAGAATGGCTGCACATGTCTATATTCTCTGACTCAAGGAAGTTAAGGCAGGGAGATCAAAGTCTGAAGCAGTCTGGGCTACACAGCAAGACTGTCTTAAAATACAGGGAAGGAGGGTTGGGAAAGCATAGTGCATGGTGCCCCAGACCTATCCCAGGCCTGGACTAATGACTGGGAGTATAAAACCACAACATATAGTCCTCGTCATCAGACTAGTGGAGAAATGACTAAGTGTATTACCAATCACAAACCGGTAAAGTGGAGCTGGAGAGATGGCTCAGCAGTTAAGAGCACTGGCTGCTCCTGCAGAGGACCAGGTTTGGTTCCTAGCACCCATACGGTGGCGAACAACAGTGCATAACTCCAGTTCCAGGCAACTCGATGCCCTCTTCTGACCTCCCCAGGCACTGCATGACACAGGTGTACTTATATGTATGCAGACAAAACACTCTTAAGCATAAAATAACCTTTTTTTAAAAAAACTGGTGAAGTGCCATGACATAGACATCTACAAGATAGTAGTAACAGACAGACAATGTTCTCAGTAAAGACTACATCACTTCCTCTTTAATCTTTGCAACAAACCCGGAGGTCAGATATCATTACTATTATATAAAGATTTTGGTTTATTAATTTGCCTAAAATTAAGTAAGGTAGAAAGTGTTTAAACTCAGAACTCTATGATTCTTACACTCTTTCCCTAAGTTGTATGTCAAAGAAACAAAATATTCCAGATATAGATGTTCTCAAAGGAAGGAGGGTGCTTCAAGATGGCTCCTGTTCATAACAGACCCATTAGGAACTTGGGGTCACTGTGAGGACAGGCACAAAAGGTGTGATCTAAGAATAAGTACCCTACATGTAAAAAGAAAAATCTTTTCAGTTGTAATTTATTAAACTCTAATTAATCAAATAAAACAATCACTGCTAAACATAACCCCATATCAAAATAAGCATATTGCTATTTTTACCTCTTGTTAATTTACACATAATATCTACAAGAAAAAATAACTCAAAGCAACATTGTGGTAGAATTATGTTGATTGTTTCTCTGTAGAAATGCTTGTGATTTTCGGGGCTGGAGAGATGGCTCAGCAGTTAAGAACACTGGTTGTTCTTGTAGAAGACCCAGGTTTGAATCCTAGCACCCACATGGCAGCTAAAACTGTCCATAACTCAAGTTCCAGGGGATCCAACAGCCTCTTCTGTGCTCCATGGGCATTGTACGACATGGGTGCACTTACCTATATGCAGGCAATACACGCATACACATAAAATTTAAAAAAAATAAGAAATAAATTATTTCAAAAAAAACTATTGCCAGAAAAAAAGGACAGAAAAAAATTAAAGAAAATATTATGGCTTTATGATTAAGTAGTACAAAGAAAAACAAATCTTTCTTGGGCTTGTAGTATATAGCTCAGTGGCAGAGTACATGCTTTGCATGAGCTGGATTCAGTCCCCAGAACCCCCAACAAAATGCTTTAATAATTTTTTTTTTTTAGTATTCTTTAAATTTTTTTTTTTTGGTCTTTTTGAGATAGGGTTTCCCTGTAGCCCCAGCTGGCCTGGAACTCGCTATGTAGACCAGGCTGGCCTCAAACTCAAAAGATCCTCCTGACTCTGCCTCCTGAGTACTGGGATTAAAGAAGTATGCCACAATGCCCAGCTACTTAAATTTTTTAACACTGAAAAAAAAAACTAGTCAATTTTTATAATAATAACAAAATAGATGGAGCTGTAACAAATTTCTAAATATTAAGTAAAGCAGGTATTGTGGTACAAACATGTAATCCCAGAACTAGGAGGCTAAGGCAAGAAGAGTGCCAACCTGGGCTATATACTGAGTTTCAGGCCAGCAAAGGCTATATATCATGACCCTGTCTCAAAAAAACAAAACCAATTAAAGAATGGTTGGTTAATCCCAAAATATTTGTGCCACTATTGCACCAATAAGCATATCTTATCAGGCCAGTTGTTACATATTCTTCATCTCCATTTGTACTATATCCATTCACCTGACCTTTCCTTAATAGTGATCTGAGATACTCCAAGTAAGTCCACACTTGCCTATCAGAAAAGCAATAGCAGAGATTAAGAGAAGACAGCTGAATTCTCATATCTACTTTTGCATTCTATTTGTGATAAGTTGTTTGATTAAACAGGCCTCATATATACTGGTTGGAAATGGGGAAGTATTTTAATTATTCCTTCCAATGATTTTTGGATATTCTTTTTATTTATGTATTTGGAGGGTTGTGTGTGTGCACGCACATATGCACCAGTGCCCACATGGAGGTCAGGGGGCAACTTCTAGGAGTCAGTTCTTGCCTTCCACCATATGGGTCCCAAGGATCAACTTCAGATCATTATGTTTCGCAGCAAGCATCTCTACCACTGAGCCATCTCACCAGTTCTGGATGTTCTTCCTTAATACTGCACTGAATCTGACAAATAGTAGTATCTTAAACTTAGTTGCAATGTAGACTATGAAAACATCATCAGTGAACTTCTATTTACCCGAATACTGGGATTGCAAGGACACATCACCACATCCACAGTCATCAGAGAATTTTTCAACCTGTTTTGGGGATGATGACCTACACGGCTGAAGATTATCTAGGAATTACAGGACCCAGAATCAGTTATAGCTATGGTTATGATTTATTAAAATAAATATCAAAGGTGGTAAAAACATATAGGTAGAGCCTGGAGAATGTGAACTTCCAAGGTTTTCCCTTCTCAGAGTCACACACAGCATACTCCCTCCACAGCATAAATGAGGTGGTTTTGCCAAGGAAAATCCACTTATGAGTTCAAGAGACAAGGACTGTTATTGAAGCCTGGTTTTACAGGCACTTTGTCTCTGTGTCACCAGTCACAATTCCAGCATCCCAGAAGAAAAAAAAAAGGTTCACAACAAATCACATCGTTCTAACAAATAATCTCTGCGGAGTGGTGGATAGGATTCAGTGCCCTAGGCATTCAGACTAAATATATCAGTTAGTAAGAAACAGTCCAGTACACAGATTCCCAGGGGCTAGTTAAGTCAAAAGTTCTATCCTGGTTAACTTTTTCCTGTGTATCGTGGTGCTGAAATCCATTCATCCTTTTAAAGTTTGAATGGCTGTTACCCATTTGTGATTTTTATATTGATATATTGGTTTATGGAGAGCTAAATATTGACCTTTTTCATTATACATTACACAATATCAAAATACTACACTTTATAGACCAGGCATGCAGACACACACCCATAACATCAGCATTTAGGAAACAGAGGGAGGAGGATAACTACCAAATTGAGGACCAGCCTGGTCTACACAATGAGTTTCAGGCCAACCAGCCAGGGATACATAGTGAGACCTTGTTTCACCCCACCAAAACACTGTATGCTTTTGTAATATCATTGATCTCAGAAGAAAAGTCTGATTGGGAAACTATAAAGTTCATAGTCCAGATTTTCAAAATTGTAATTTGATTTTTATCACTCACAGCAAATAATAGCAGATCTTTGAAGGAGCATCTTTGCTCATCTTTTAGAAAATGACTACTAACTATCTAATTCTTAATAGTTTTGGTTTATCAAATGTTCTTTCAAATAAAAAATGGTGTTCCAAGAAGGAAATGGTTTTAGCTGAGCTCCTAATTAAAACATTCATGTAAATCCATTTCACCAAGATTATTGTCCTTAGGTTCATATCTTAAGTACGTATACACCTCATTTTGTTACACACTAATAAAAGATGGTGGCACACATCTATAATCACAGCCCTTGATTAGTCTTGATAGTGAGCCCAGCTGTCAGCCTTCTTTTTACTTTTTATTTTCAGACAGAAGTTCACTAAGTTCCCTCAGCCTAGCCTTGAACTCACTCTATAGCCCAAGATGCCCTTAAACTTGTGATCCTCTTGCCTCAGCTCCCAAGTAGCTGGGATTACAACTCTGTAAACTGGCAGTATTTTGTTCATGAGTGTAACCCAAAATTTGCTTGCTTGTTTGGGTTTCTGTGTTTTTATGTGTCTCTGCCCACTTGCCAAATGCCTTTATGGTCTCAGGTTTCCTGAGTTTTTCCTAAAGTCATAGGAGAAAAAACATCACTATAATTTAGTATAATTAAATGTTATTATGCCTGGGAAGAATCAATATTTAGGGGAAGTGAAGAAAATGCACCTATTTCAAGAAGGAGAGGAGGAGGAGGAAGCAGAGAGGGAGAAGGTAGGAGGAGGGAGGGGGAGAGGGAGGGGGAGAGAGAGGAGGAGAAGGAGGAAGAACAGCAGCAGCACCTCCTACTCCTCTGCTACCTCCATCTAAGACACTATTATTATGCCCTTTAAATCACCCCGGCAAATTACCATGTTCAATACTTAAGAGCATCAGGTTCTACTGAGAAATCCCCCTTTATACCACTTCTTTTTCTGCTGGAAGGAAAAGGTAACTGTCACATTTTTAAGTGTTTAGAATTGGAGACATTAAAAAAAAAATCTCAGCACTCATGGAACAAGAAGGTTTTAAAATTGGAACAGGAAGCTGGTTTCACATATATATATATATACATAAACTCCAACTTTAAGACTTAATTTTATTTTGAATTATGTGTATGGGAGGGGAATATCTGGAAGTCAATGCAGGTGCCTGAGGAGGCCAGAGGCATCAGATCATCTGTAGTTACAGGTGATTATAGGCCACTAGATGTGACTGCTGGGAACAAACTCAGGTCCTCTGGAAGCGCAGTACACACTCTTAACTGCTGAGCCATCTCTCCAGCCCATGAAGTATCTCTCTAAAAGAAAGAAAAAAAAAGTCGAGCCATACAACCTATAAGTAGTATCTGCTCCTTAGTAACAGAGCTTGTAAGTTTACATCATGAATTAGGGTTTCAGGTAAAACACATAATATAAATGAACTCTGAAACTCAAAAAGATTGAAAAGCCTAAAGTTCTACTAAGATGTCTAACTTCCAAGCAACACACCTGTAATTCCAGGACTTGGGAAATGAAGCACAAGAATCATAAATTCAAAGCCAGTCTCATCAGCAGCAGTTTGAGCCCAGCTTGGCTGTTATGAGGCCGTATTTTTACAAACAAACAAAAAACTAGCAAGCTGAATGCAGATATTATTATTATCCTCTTTAATGCTTTGCTTTCTATCATATTAAGAATTAAATTAGCCAAGCATGACATATTTTTTCACTATGTTCTTGTAATTGTTAACCGACATCCTGTACTCTTTTTGATGATTATATACTGAGGCAGATTTGTTCTAAGCAATAGGGCAAGACCCTGTTGTTTTTTTTAAACTTTTTTTTTAATTTTATGTGTGTGTATTGCCTGCACGTAGGTAAGTGCACCCATGTCGTGCAATGCCCTCGAAGGTCAGAAGAGGCTGTCAGATCCCCCTGGGACTGGAGTTATGGACAGCTGTTAGCTGCCATGTGGGTGCTGGGATTCAAACCCGGGTCTTCTGCAAGAACAACCAGTGTTCTTAACCTCTGAGCCATCTCTCCAGCCCCAGACCCTGTTTTAAAAAAAAAGAAAAAAAAAAAAAAAAAAGGAGGACTTGCAGCATGCAGGAGGAGGCAGAGGCCAGTAAATCTCTGTAAATTCAAGGCCAGACTGGTCTACATAGCAGGTTCCAAACCAGTCAGAGAAACAGTCTTAAATAAAAGGGGGAAAGGAATTCCTTTTTAGCTGTAAAGCTATGAGCCCATATAAAACTCTCACTACTAGGCCCACTGCTTCATAAATTCTCTTAATGGGATTTTTATTATTTTTTAAATATTTTATTTATCATATTTATATTTTATGTGTATGAGTTTATTACCTGCATGTATGTAAATGTACCTGTGTCATACAATGCCCAC